ATATATATATATATATATATATATATATATATATATATATATATATATATATATATATATATATACATACATAAGTTAGGAAGAAAAATATTATATAAAAATATATAATTTTTTTTTATTTTTATATTATTTATTTATTTTTATTTTTTGCATTGAAAGCCTGCAAGGTTGATTCCTAGTGGCAGGGACATGAGTTTTTAGCCCCTGTACTAAAGCACACTTCTCCTCTCCCCCTTCATTTACATTTACATTTACAGCATTTAGCAGCCTTCCTTACAGAAGTGCTTTATAGTCTCCATCAAAAATACATCCTTGTGCTAATACAACTAGGCCAGGGTCTAAAAATACAATCAAGCTAAAGCCCTGTTATTGAGAACTTAGTACCAAAAAAAAAAAAAAAAAAAACCAAATCAAGGTATTTCTTTACTTAAAAGAGTTCTAATTTAAATGTTTGGTGAAGAGGTCTTCAGTCTTTGATTGACTGTCCTCGTTTTACGTGCCAGTGCCTCAGCTCTTCAGACAGCCAGGGGAAGTGCATTCCACCTCCTGGGTGCCAGATCAGTGAATAGTCTTGATGTATGAATGTCTTCATTGTACCCTGAGAGATGGTGGGTCGATTCAAGTCGTGCTAGAAGCTCGAAGGGAATGTGATGCAGAGCGTGGTGTGATAAGTCACTTCAAGCAGGTGTGGTCTGGTCCATTTTTAGCTTTGTAGGCAAGCATCAGTGTTTTAAATCTGATGCAGGTAGCTGCTGGATGCCAGTGGAGGGAATGTAGCAGTATGGGAGAACTTGGGGAGACTGAAAACAAGTATTCTGCTTTCTGGAGCACTTGCAAGAGTCACATTTATCAGTTACCATTTTTTCACAGAAAAGGAGAAAAGGAGACTTACATCTATTACTATATGGTCACTAAAATCAGATAAAAACTGGCTATACTTTGAGGGACTTTTGAGTGGAGTTACAGATCCTGGTTAAAAGAACTTTTCCTTTCAATAAAACTTATTTGACAAAAAAAAAAGAACTTTTCCTGCAGCACAACCGGCAAGTCACATTACATTATAAGTAAAAAAAAAAAAATCCTGCAAGTAAGTGCATATAACTGAGGATTTAACAAAAACCATGGTTCCTTCTTTTGTGTTAATTCAATTTCAGTAACCACTTTGTCCTGGTTTCAGTCTATCTGGACCCTATCCCTGGAACACTGGGTGTACGGCGGGAACACACCCTGAATGGGATGCTAGTCCATTGCATGGCACCGTGCAGACATACATTCACACGCATTTATACCTAGGGATCAGTTTAGAGTCACCAATCCTCCTACCAGCATGTTTTTGGGATATAAGGAGGAAACCGGAAAACCTGGAGGAAAGACACATGGACACAGGGAGTACAGACCGTATCGAGCTCAGGTTCAAACCGATCTGGAGCTGTGCACCACTGTGCCACCTATAGTTCCTTCTGTCATGTAAAATATCAATCCAGTATCAGACAATTTTGTTCAACT